GGAGTGGATGCACGGCCTGCCCGGGGCGGCGGCTCCTGGAGCACACCTGCCGCCAGGTTCGGGGGAGGGAACAGTTTCTAGGAACTGCCCTGGACCTTGAGGCCGCTGCTGTTTCTGCTTCTGCTGTGCACTGACCATGTGACCTTGAGTCTTTCCCGTTTTGTTTTATAAAAGGTCCAGGGTGTGTGCCCGAGGATGGCGGTGGCCGGTGGTCCGGGTGTGCTCAGCATCCCCGGGCGGCGGGGAACGGGCAGACCCGACTGGATCCTCCCTCAGCGCCCACTCGTGGAAGGGGCAGATGGTGCGCAGGGCACCGGGCTGCTTCTCTAAGCCCCCTGGGCCCTGATCCACACGTGTCTGGGAGATGAATTTGTGGGTTCGGTTCCTGTCTAGAAAGTGTCAGAAATTTGATAGGATCAAAATCAGAGACTTGCCTTGGAGAGGTGCTTCTAGTCATGCCAGCCTGGGAAACTGGAGGGCCAATTTTGGGGTCAGGAAACCCATTAAAGCATTGTTTTAATGCTTTCGTGAATTTTTTCAAAAAACCATTTTTTTTTCCTCATAAAATAATACTCTTTCAATACCCAACTTTGGGGGAGATGATCTAATGAATAAGATGACTTTCCAGAGACAGGGACAGTTAAGGTTTTGGCGTGCTGCTTCACAGGTTTTAAAACAGTGCTGTGGTGAACAGCTTTCCTGATGCGTCCTTAGAGCAGCTCTGAGCGTTTCCTGCGGGCAAATCCCTAGAAGAGGCCGGCGGACCAAAGACTGTGCTGCGTTTTGCCAAAATGCCCTCCAGAAACGCTGGACCAGCCTGCCGTCCACTCACTGGTGAGCGGGCATGCCCGCTTGCCTGTCCTTTTGCCAGCCCTGAGATGCTGTCATTGCATTATGTCTTTGGCAGTCTGATAGGCGAAACAGCCCTTTTCATCACTGGAATCCTAATTTCTTTGACTGCTGGTGATGTTGAACATCTTTTCATTTTATTATTGGCCATTTGGAAAATTGCCTGTCTATGTTCTTTGCCCATTTTTTGTTTTTCTGTTGGGCTGTGTGTCTTTTTCTTAGGGATTCTAAGAGCTTGTTACTGTAAGGAATTTAGCCCTTCTCTGTGCCATATGCTACTCTGTACAAGAGTGTAAATGCAATGTGTGGACGGGCGCGGTGGCTCACGCCTGTAATCCCAGCACTTTGGGAGGCCAAGGTGGGCAGATCACCTGAAGTCAGGAGTTTGAGACCAGCCTGGCTAACATGATGAAACCTCGTCTCTACTAAAAATACAAAAATTAACTGGGTGTGGTGGCGGGTGCCTGTAATCCCAGCTAGTCAGGAGGCTGAGGCAGGAGAATTGCTTGAACCCAGGAGGTGGAGGTTTCAGTGAGCCGACACCGTGCCACTACAGTCCAGCCTGGGCGACAGAGTGAGACTCTGTCTCAAACAACAACAACAACAACAACAACAACAACAACAAAAAACTGTATTGTACAACAGTACAATAACAGAGTATTGTACAGTAGTACAGTATACTCTTGTACATTGCATTTAGTTTTCTGTCATTTTTCTTTTGACTTTGGATTTTGTTTTTTTAACTTTTTTTTTTTTTGAGACAGGGCTTACTCTGTGTACACTCAGGCTGGAGTGTACTGGCATGATCATAGCTCACTGCAGCCTCAACCTCCCCAGGCTCAGGTGATCCTCCCACCTCAGCCTCCCAGTAGCTGGGACTACAGGTGCACGCCACCACGCCTGGCTAGTTTTTGTTTTTGTTTTTGTAGAAATGGGGTTTTGCCATGTTCCCCAGGCTGGCCTTGAACTCCTGGGCTTGAGTGATCCACCCTCCTTGGCTTCCCAAAGTGCTGGGATTACAGATGTGGACTACTGTGTCTGGCCTTTTTATTTTTTTACTACGTAGAGGTTTAAAGTTCTTCTGTAGCTAAATCTATCAAGTTTTCTTTTGTGGTTTCTGGCTTTGGGGTAAGGCCTGGGATAGCTTTTACCACTGTAAGATTTCATAATCATTCACCAATTTAATCCCTGCATTCCAAAGTAAGAGAGCAGCGTAGGGCATGGAGGAGTGTGACCTAGGGCTTTCGGGAGATTCCTGGGCCAGAGTGTATGGCACGTAATAAACAGTTTCTCAAAACAGCAAGCACTTGTACTCCTTTTTGAAGCTACCGACGTTCAGAGATTGGTTGGTTGGTGCTTTTTATTTTTTTATCAAATTCTTAGGAGGCCTCAACAGTGCCTTGTGAGGCCTTCAATGGAGGAACAAGGAGGGGGCGTCTGTCATTGTCAGACTCTCCTGTTGTGAGAGGCGCTGGCCTTGGCCTTGGGACCCCCTAGTCAGGCTCCTCGCTGTGCAGTCGGTGCCTCCGGGGGTCAGCACACAGGGTCACCTTCATTATCCGCCATGGAGGAAGTGAGGACTCCTGGCATCTTTCCACCTAGCCCAGGGCTCTGCTGTCCACAGTGGAGGGGCGGTGGCAGCAGGGACAGGTGCACAGGGCTTCACGTCTTGCCTGAGGAGCTCTGGTGGGCTCTTGGGCCCCTGTGTGACTGTTGCTCCCCTCTGGGCCTCCGCTTGGCCTTCTGTGAAGGGCACAAAGAGTCCAGTGGGACCACGTCAAGGTCACTCTCCATGTGGAGTGGAGAGACCACCTGGGAGAGATGGCTGAGGGCCTGCTGGGGACCAAAGTCTGAGCTCATGAGAAAAGCCAGCAGTCAGTCCCTCTGTGACTATTTTCCTTTACAGAATTAGTGACATTGTCATAATTAAAGAAAACTCAGGACTGGGCTCGGTGGCTCACGCCTGTAAACCCAGCACTTTGGGAGGCCGAGGAGGGCGGATCGCCTGACACCAGGAGTTGGAGACCAGCCTGGCCAGCATGTTGAAACCCTGTCTCTACTTTAAAAAAAAAAAAAAAAATTAGCTGGGTCTGGTGGTGCACGTCTGTAATCCCAGCTCTCAGGAGGCTGAGGCAGGAGAATCGCTTGAACCTGGGATGGGAGACTCCGTCTCAAAACAAAAACAAAAAAGAAACTCAAATGAAAGAAGGCAGCATTTCCCCACCACACAAGGAAGCTTCCACAGTCCCCCGGGAGGACGCAAGGATGAAGGCACCCCAGACCCTGCTGGCACGAGGACACAGTGTCTGTTGGGAGGTCATCCTGCTGTGTCTGTTAACTATAAAGTGCAGGTCACATTTGAGTGTTGCTTAGCCCTTCGTCCTAAAGTTACGTGCACACAGTTTGTCCAGGCACACACTGACGAGGACTGCTCCAACCTTGTCAAAGCGGAGCCCCCTAAGTGACCAGATGGGGACAGCGAAATGAACCCTGGTACCTCCTGTACCGCTGGGCCTCTGCTGGAAGGGAGGTGGGTCCATGTGCCCCAGTGTGGAAGGAGTCCAGGGAGCATAAGAAAATGGAAACAGCTTGCAGCAGAATGATGTGAAGTGTCACCCCAGTACACTTTCAGAAGCAGAGTGGGCTGGCGCGCCACCCGGCAGAACACGCACGAAGATGTCGGGACCCAGGTGAGCGGCCTGAGTGGAAGGCCAGCAAGGGGGAGGGGAC